AACATAAATTTCGACCACCAATATCATATTTCCTAGCACTTTGCCTCCAACTGAACTTTCATTCAAAGACTAAATTTTGTAAAACAGCCACAAAAAAAGAAAACAATAAAAATTTGTATTGAGGAAGTTCATGAATTTGCAAATAATAATATTTAGGGGTAGCCAGCATTTGGCTGAAGAGTTGCGCGTCAGGGTAGAATAACAGCAGCAGCTCCCCTCACTGTGGGAAAGGAAGTAGATTGCGGTAAACGAACTGAGGATGATGGTATTTTTTGGTGGTGGTGCGAAATGTGGATGTGGTTATTATTACAAAAAAAAAATAATAATAACGAACAACAACAAAAGGTGAAATAATATTTTGCATTTTGTCGGATTGAAAACAAGAAATATTTCCTTTGATTTGAAAGAAAAGGAAATGATTTAAAACTGCTATGGAAGAGGAAGTGTTGAAATAACCCTTAAATGTAATGGTTCCAAATCCAGAAATCAAGATACAGCAATGAGTGAATTTTTAAACAAACATTTTTTTCAAAGATCCAGCAAGGCATGGATTTAAAAAAAATCAAATATCCAGGGACCGCCTATATGGATTTTTTTATACCCTCCACAACTATGTTGTCAGGGTATTAAAGCTTTTTGCATCCCCAAAAATTTGTAACGCCGCGAAATATTGGTCCTAGACCCACCTTTAAGTATACCGATCATATCTCGACTAGCTGAGTTGATCTAGACATGTGCGTCCGTCCATCCGTCCGCCTGTCCATTATAATTTGTAAACACGATACAGGCCACAGTTATGGACTAATCTTCATGAAATTTTGCATGAAGGATGGGTTCTGGCCAATGAAAACCCCTATTGTTTTTGATAAAGAGCGGTTAATATTTAAGGGATGAAATGGACCAATAACATTATTTTTATCTGATTTTCTGGTCGCTCTAGAGGTCATAAATATGGCACAAACATTGCGAATTTTTACATGGAGAAAGGGATCGGGCTAAAGAATAAGCATGCCTGTTGTGATAAAGATCGGTCAATATTTAGCGGGTCAAATGGACCCTGACATTTATGTGAAAAATTGCAAAATTTGTTTTCTATGGCGTATATATTTACTCCTAAAGGATATAGACCCGAGGAGTTGATAGTATATCGAAGAGGAGCGGTTGACCCTTAAATTGATACCAATTATATTGTTGTATATACTCGGATGCGGGAGTTACACGTAAATATTTACAGGTGCTTAAGTATTCAGATATTATTTAGTAACCCATTACCACACTAGAGGGCGAAAATATTGCGCTGATCGCTTTGAAATTTTCCATTAGGATTCAGGTATGGTCAAGGACAACGCCTATCATTTTCGGTGATGAACAGATAATAATTTTGGGATGAAGTGGACCGAAAAATTAATTGTTGTGTTTTTTCCAGTCGATCTATAGGCCACAATTGAAAGTCGAAAATCACAATACAAGCCACGGTGAAGAGAATCTGAACAAGTAATTAAGAGGAGTGTACTGAATATTAGTAATATTTGTTGACCTCAGATCGGTGAAGAGAATGCAAATATCGCAAAATATTGCCCAAGCTCTGAATGTAGGAATCACAGAAAGTTAAATTTTCGTGGAAGTTGTGTAGGGTATCATATGGTCGGCCCGTGCGGCTATACTGCTCCGCTCACTGGCTTTAAAATATATTTTTTCAAAGATCCACAAATCCTTGGATTTTTAAGAAATATTTTTTTACGATTTAAAAATATGTTTCCATTGTCCGCCTATAAGGAATTTTTTTATATTATTAAAATGTTTCCAAAATATTTTAATTAATATTTTTCGAAAAAACTTAACCCCACTGTGCAACAAAAGAATGACTACTGGACACAAAAGTAACCAACAACAATGCTCTAGAGATAATATCGAATGCAAGTGTATCATCTTTGCCTTTTGTTTCATTTTTTTTTCTGCGTTTTTATAAATCCGACATATCCCTCCATTCCTCCGCTCCCTCATCCTTCCACTCGCACATGAGTGGATGAGTGTAATTGAGGAAGTTATAATTGCCAATGAATAACTTTACCGTGTATGGAGGATATAAAGAAGACACAAAAACAACAGCAGCAAAAAAAGAATGCGTCCGCTACCAAAGTCAACCAGTCAAACATGCCAACCAATCGGTCGTACGACGTATGTACCACTCATTCATTTAAGGAGCTCAGAAGTTAGCGAAACTTTTCAAAAGGGGACCAACCAGTGCCAAAAGAAAAAAAGGAAACAAGTTTTTCATTTTTCGATTTGAATAAATGTAGGTAGGTAGGGGTAGCGCGACCACGATGAATGAAAATCTTCTTGACTGCTTGGTAGGTTGGCAGATTGCTTAGCAGGACGTTGAAATCATGAATGAAATCGAATCGAAATCAAGTCCAGTGTTATCAACGATGACGACAACAACAACAACTCGCCAGTCTCTGCAGCAATATCGTCATCTTCATCTTGAGTGTCTGGTTTCTGGTTGAATTACTTATTTTGTATTTAGCGCGGTAGCGATGCTATTACCGCGAGCCACAATAAAAAAACAACAACACAGCACAAAGCCAAATCTGGAAGTCATCCAACACCAAAAAAATGTGGCACATAATTGACGAAGGTCGTACGACAAGTTGAAATACAAATAAAAAAATAATAAACCAAAATTTGCGGATGCAAAGAAGGATGAAACTTAAAAAAAAATATTCTTTAAAAAATCCACGCCTTGTTGACTACTTGAAAAAATATTCTTTAAAAAATCCACGCCTTGTTGACTACTTGAAAAAATATTCTTTAAAAAATCCACGCCTTGTTGACTACTTGAAAAAATATTCTTTAAAAAATCCACGCCTTGTTGACTACTTGAAAAAATATTCTTTAAAAAATCCACGCCTTGTTGACTACTTGAAAAAATATTCTTTAAAAAATCCACGCCTTGTTGACTACTTGAAAAAATATTCTTTAAAAAATCCACGCCTTGTTGACTACTTGAAAAAATATTCTTTAAAAAATCCACGCCTTGTTGACTACTTGAAAAAATATTCTTTAAAAAATCCACGCCTTGTTGACTACTTGAAAAAATATTCTTTAAAAAATCCACGCCTTGTTGACTACTTGAAAAAATATTCTTTAAAAAATCCACGCCTTGTTGACTACTTGAAAAAATATTCTTTAAAAAATCCACGCCTTGTTGACTACTTGAAAAAATATTCTTTAAAAAATCCACGCCTTGTTGACTACTTGAAAAAATATTCTTTAAAAAATCCACGCCTTGTTGACTACTTGAAAAAATATTCTTTAAAAAATCCACGCCTTGTTGACTACTTGAAAAAATATTCTTTAAAAAATCCACGCCTTGTTGACTACTTGAAAAAATATTCTTTAAAAAATCCACGCCTTGTTGACTACTTGAAAAAATATTCTTTAAAAAATCCACGCCTTGTTGACTACTTGAAAAAATATTCTTTAAAAAATCCACGCCTTGTTGACTACTTGAAAAAATATTCTTTAAAAAATCCACGCCTTGTTGACTACTTGAAAAAATATTCTTTAAAAAATCCACGCCTTGTTGACTACTTGAAAAAATATTCTTTAAAAAATCCACGCCTTGTTGACTACTTGAAAAAATATTCTTTAAAAAATCCACGCCTTGTTGTCTACTTGAAAAAATAAACAATTTTTTAAATCCAATATCATTTGTTTCCTTCCCCTTCCTTACCGTATCCTCGAACCAATTCGAACGGAAATTCAAGTTAATGACAGAAGTGATATTTCATTAAATGTCAAACTAGTTGTTGCAACGAACCTGCCCACAGCGACAAACTGCTTTGAAAGGAAGTGACATTCCTTGTAAATAGATACCAACAAAAGGCATCCTGCATGAGGTTTGAGACAAGAAGTGTGGCCATGTTCGGGGACTTATCGTATGATCGGTTGCCGGTTATATTGATTTATTAGTGATATAATAAAATCCCCTTCCCTTCGATCATTGTGAATTGCATAATTTAAAAAATAAAAGTGTAGTCCTCTTCTTGGGCAAATAAATGGAGTATCTCCAACATTATCAGCCAGTCTGACGTTCGACTGGCAAGCGAGCCCACCACCCTTCATTAAATAATAAACGATGACTTTGTGTTGTAATCACACCTGAGTCAATATAGGCTTAGGTTCCACTAGAGATATGCATAGCAAATAGCTTCAATTATATTTGAGTGGTTGGCTGTGCCCCCACCCGCAAAATGCACACAGACCCCACTTAGAAGGCATTTTTTATGTGCCTCAAGGCATGTCTTCAAAAGTAAAAGTGATTAATTTTCAATTGTTAAACATCGATCGATCCGTTCCACCCATTCATTCAGTCTGACATTCCGCCATCCACTTCATTACAAATAGTTGGAGCCAATCAAGATTGCAGCCAGGAAAAAAAGTTGGGGGACGGAACAGAAAGCCATCATTGTTGTCTGAAGGTTGTTAGTGGCACTGGTGGTGCTGGAAATTTTCTAAAGATTCGTTCTATCGATAACCCACCACAACAGAACAAGAGATCTGTTCATTGGACAAAAATAATTGAATAATTTCATAATTTTTCAAATCAAAATTGTTTGTAATTTTTTTGGGTAGGGGGAAATAATTTCAAGGTAATAGAAAAATAAAGGAAAAGTTTGCAGGTCAACCAGTACACCTTCTTAACGAAGCGACACGAAATGGAGGAAATGTTAGGAGAGAGAAGTTTTTTCTAAAGGGCTTCGAGAAATTCATTTTTAAAATCCACAGCCTCTTTTTTATGATTCCGATTGCTATGTTGGATCTTTAAATCAATTATCAATACATTTCCTCCACTTGAAGATAGGACTTTCAATATTGTATAGGCCTGGGTATAGGTCCTCCTTAAGGGTTCTAAAAATCGATATTTTACATTCTAACATCCTAACTAATTAAAGTTCTAAATATATTTTTTTAATTTTTATATTTCTCAAACTTACCTCCTTGCTCGGCACACAAATGGGTGTACCAACTTTCACAATACCATTTTCGACCATTACACCCATGACAATGGGGTCACGACTGTTAAAGATGAACTGTGGCAGTATCTGAAAAAGAGAGAGAAAAACAAAACAAAACAAAAAAACGATTAAATTAAATACAACAACAACTTAGAGAGAGAGAGAGAGAGAGAGAGAGCAAGACGATATTTTTCATAGAAAACCCACAGAACTTCTTGAGGGCTCGAGAGGGTCTTTTAAATAAAAAGAGGGACTCAAAGTAGATTTCTTCATAGATAAATGGGACTGAAGTGAGGATTTATTCCTTGAAGACCTCTCTTTCTCAGGGATCAAGAAGGTCTTCTTCGTAGAAAAGCTCAAGGAGGTCTTCTTCGCAGAAAAGCTCAGGGAAATATTCATCATAGAGGTGTTCTTCATAGAAGAGCTCAAGAAGTTCCTATGCATAGAAGAGCTAAAGGAGATCTTCTTCATAGAAAAGCTCAAGGAGGACTTCATCATAGAAGAGGAGCTCAAGGAGGTCTTCTTCAAAGAAGAGCTCAATGTGGTCTTCTTCAGAGATGAGTTCAAGGAGGTCTTCTTCTGAGAAGAGCTCAAGAAGGTCTTCTTCTGAGAAGAGCTCAAGAAGGCCTTCTTTAGAGAAGAGCACAAGAAGGTCTTCTTCACATTGAAGAGCTCAAGAAGGTCTTCTTCGTAGAAGAGCTCAAGAAGGTCTTCTTCATAGAAGAGCTCAAGAAGGTCTTCTTCATAGAAGAGCTCAAGGTCTTCTTCATAGAAGAGCTCAAGAAGATCTTCTTCATAGAAGAGCTCAAGAAGGTCTTCTTCATAGAAGAGCTCAAGAAGGTCTTCTTCATAGAAGAGCTCAAGAAGGTCTTCTTCATAGAAGAGCTCAAGGAGGTCTTCTTCATAGAAGAGCTCAAGGAGGTCTTCTTCATAGAAGAGCTCAAGGAGGTCTTCTTCATAGAAGATCTCAAGAAGGTCTTCTTCATAGAAGAGCTCAAGAAGGTCTTCTTCATAGAAGAGCTCAAGGAGGTCTTCTTCATAGAAGAGCTCAAGGAGGTCTTCTTCATAGAAGAGCTCATGGAGGTCTTCTTCATAGAAGAGCTCAAGGAGGTCTTCTTCATAAAAGAGGCCTTCTTCGTAGAAGAGGTCAAAGAGGTCTTCTTCATAGAAGAGCTCAAGGAGGTATTCCTCATAGAAGAGCTGAATGAGGTATTCCTCATAGAAGAGCTCAATGAGGTATTCCTCATAGAAGAGCTCAAGGAGGTCTTTTTCATAGAAGAGCTCAAGGTCTTCTTCATAGAATATCTCATGGAGGTCTTCTTCATAGAAGAGCTCAAGGAGGTCTTCTTCATAGAAGAGCTAAAGGAGGTCTTCTTCATAGAAGAGCTCAAGGAGGTCTTCTTCATAGAAGAGCTCAAGGAGGTCTTCTTCATAGAAGAGCTCAAGGAGGTCTTCTTCATAGAAGAGCTCAAGGAGGTCTTCTTCATAGAAGAGCTCAAGGAGGTCTTCTTCATAGAAGAGCTCAAGGAGGTCTTCTTCATAGAAGAGCTCAAGGAGGTCTTCTTCATAGAAGAGCTCAAGGAGGTCTTCTTCTTAGAAGAGCTCAAGGAGGTCTTCTTCATAGAAGAGCTCAAGGAGGTCTTCTTCATAGAAGACCTCAAGGAGCCTTCTTCATAGAAGAGCTCAAGGAGCCTTCTTCATAGAAGAGCTCAAGGAGGTCTTCTTCATAGAAGAGCTCAAGGAGGCCTTCTTCATAGAAGAGCTCAAGGAGGTCTTCTTCATAGAAGAGCACAAGGAGGTCTTCTTCATAGAAGAGCTCAAGAAGGTCTTCTTCATAGAAGAGCTCAAGAAGGTCTTCTTCATAGAAGAGCTCAAGAAGGTCTTCTTCATAGAGAGCTTAAGGAGGTATCATGGAAGACCTGAAAGAGTTCTTCTTCATAGAAGAGCTCAATGAGGTCTTCTTCTCCTTCATAGAAGAACTCAAGGAGGTCTTATTCGTAGGAGAACTCAAGGAAGTCCTATCCGAGTAGAAGAGCTTAAGGAGATCTCTTTCACAAAGGAGAGAATTTCAAGGAGATGTTCTAGTTATAAGAATAGCCAAATAAGGTCTTCTCCAATGAAGGGGAGCGCAAGGTGGTATTCCTAATAGAAGATCTAGAGGAGGTCATCATTCTTTATAAGGCGATTTTCTTCATAGGAAAAGAAGATATTTTTTATAAATCTTGAAGGTCTTCCTCATAAAAATGGTCAAGTTCATAGATGAGGGACTAAAGGAGGTCTTCTTCACGGAAAAGGAGCTCTTCCTAGAATAGTTCATAAAGATCTTCCACAGAACTCAAGGAGATCTTCATCGTGGATGAACTGTACGAGATCTTTATATAAAATGAGGTTTTCTTCATGAAAAAGGAGAATTTTTCATAGCAGAACTTGGAGGTTTTTCTCATAAAAAGGTTTGAAAACGCATTATGCACAGAAAAGAGACTCAAGGACGTATTCTTTATAGATGAGGGAAGCATCATTAAAGAACTCATGGAGGTCTTCTTAATATAATAGGATCTCACTGAAGTTTTAGGAAGACCTTCAGTAAGAATATCTGCTGGTCTATTGATATTTAGGTTACCTATAGGAAAACTATTCTACCGAACATATTTTATAGGTAGACCTTAAGGTAATCTCCCTTCTTGGAAGACCACTTTACCTCAAGACTATAGTTACGATATCATGAGATTTTTGTTTTAAAATTAACTTCACAATTATTCCAATTGTCTTTGAATAGAATAACAACAAACACACAAAAATAACAACCTGTCTGTCAGACAGTCAATCATTCGTCTTCCCTTTTTTGCGTATGCATGTGAGTGTGTGTGTGTGTGTGCAATGGCAGTTCATGCAACATGTTGCATGTTGTAATTGACTAATGTCTAATCCCATAGAGAATTATGTGTTATTGTTGTTGTGTTTGTTCTGTCTTGTCTCGACATCCGGCCTTAGATGGATATGTTCTTCTATGACCCTATGTCCAAGTACACTCCAACATCCGCCGTTCGTGGTAAGATGAATGGATGATGGTGATGGATCATGGAAATTGCTTTAAGAAGGGAGAGATATCCATGGGATAATTTCTGACAAAAACAAAGCAACAACAATGGTTGTGATGATGATGTTGTTGTTATTATTTCATGATCTTCTAGAGCAAGATTTGTTCTACAAGTGGTGCTATCATCTTCGGCTCCATGACCACTATCTGTGTTGTTGTTGTCGTCTTTTTTTGTAAGTCCAGGCGGATGCCAGCACTTAATGTTTGCTATTGTTGTAATTACACGCGTACAGGTGTAAAATACATATGACCGGATGATGATGAACGAATGAGCGGATGATTGGTTGGCTTGGCTTGGTAAAAATACATTCTTCGGTGAAATGCAGCCACACATACTCTGCACATCTAACTATTAACCTGTTGTTATGGGCATGGCTTGAATGAAGATCTGGGTGTTTGAACTAAGAAAAACTCCACTTGGCTGTAAAAGGTGTTTTGGCACACCTCCCCATCACCACCACTATCTTTCCAGATTGCCTCAATGCGTTCAAATGCGAGCATACTACCTGTTGAAGAGCATCTGTTCTGATTACCACCGGACAACAACCATCCGCAAAGAATACCTCTGCCATCAACTGTTCTTGCAGAACACGCATAGCTGCGGTTCATATATGTGGTATTGTTGTTGTTGCTGCTGTTGCACTCCACTATTAATCTGTCTTCTAAACGATCAACACAGTAATCGCACCAAACCGAACCAATCGACCGGAATAGTGAAATGCTCTTCTTTAAATTGCCTGGCGTTGGTCATTATCCCAGAATTTGTCTTTGGCCGTGCCTACCGAATGGCAGATCCCAGACCAAAGAAAACAATGCTGGAAGCGATGCCGTGGTGGAGATGGTTTGACACGTTTTACTGCACGTTCGGCAGCCATGAATCTGTGGCATTTGTATGTTTGCAGCGGAAATTGAGTTGTAGTTAATGGTATTTGTTGTAGTTTCTGTTGTTGTTTTTGTTATTAATCGTAATCAAGATGATAGATGAAGAGTTTTTTATGAGAATGATTGAAGATCAAAAAAATTTTTTATATAATATCAGAAGACCAAGAGGTCTTCCATTGGAAGTATTAAAGATTTTCTTCTTCTTAAAAAGAGAAAAAAACCTGACAAAAGAAAACTGCGTTTTATAGAAGACCCGAAGTCCTTCATATAGAAAGTCAGATACAAATTTATCAATATGTCTTCTTTTATGGAAGCTTATTCGTGAAACATCCTACATATAGAAGGTCAAGAAGTCCCTTTTTTCTTCTCCAGGGGGTCTCCCTGTGCCTCTTCTATGAAGAAAACCTTGAGCTCCTCAACTATGAAGAATACCAACTTGAATTACCTTTCTATTAAAAACGACTTCTTGGAGCTCTTCTATGAAGAAGACCACCTGGAGATTTTCTATGAAGAAGACCTCTTGGAGATCTTCTATGAAGAAGACCTCTTGGAGATCTTTAATGAAGAATACCTCCTTGCGGAGTTCTTGTATGAAAAAAACCTACATGAGTTCTTCCATAAATAAGACCTCATTGAGTTCCCCTTCTATGAAAAAGTCCTCCTTGAGCACCTCTTCTATGAAGAATACCTCCTTGAGCTCTTCTATGTGGAAGACCTCCTTGAGCTCTTCTATGTGGAAGACCTTCTTGAGCTCTTCTATGAAGAAGACCTCCTTGAGCTCTTCTATGAAGAAGACCTCCTTGAGCTCTTCTATGAAGAAGACCTCCTTGAGCTCTTCTATGAAGAAGACCTCCTTGAGCTCTTCTATGAAGAAGACCTCCTTGAGCTCTTCTATGTAGAAGACCTCCTTGAGCTCTTCTATGTAGAAGACCTCCTTGAGCTCTTCTATGTAGAAGACCTCCTTGAGCTCTTCTATGTAGAAGACCTCCTTGAGCTCTTCTATGTAGAAGACCTCCTTGAACTCTTCTTCTTCTACGAAGAAGGCCTCCTTGAACTCTTCTATGTGAAAGACCTCCTTGAGCTCTTCTATGTAGAAGACTTCCTTGAGCTCTTCTATGTAAAAGACCTCCTTGAACTCTTCTATGAAGAAGAACTCCTTGAACTCTTCTATGAAGAAGGCACCCTTTTATGAAGATCTCCTTGAGCTGTTCTATGCAGAAGACCTACTTGAGCTCTTCTATGCAGAAGACCTCCTTGAGCTCTTCTATGCAGAAGACCTCCTTGAGCTCTTCTATGCAGAAGACCTCCTTGAGCTATTCTATAAAGAATATCTCCTTGAGTTCTTCTATGAAGAAGACATCCTTTTATGAAGAAGTCCTCCTTTAGCTCTTCTATGCAGAAGACCTCCTTCAGCTCTTCTATGTGGAAGACCTCCTTGAGCTCTTCTATGTGGAAGACCTCCTTGAGCTCTTCTATAAAGATGATCTCCTTGAGTTCTTCTATGCAGAAGACCAATGAAAGATACATCCTTGAGCTCTTCTATAAAAAAGACTTCTTCTATGAAGGAGACCTCTAGAACTCCTCTTCTATGAAGGAGCTCCCCTTGAGGTCATTTTCTACGAAGAAGCTTTCCTTAAGATCCTCTTCTATTAAAAAACATCCTTGAGTTTCTCTTCTATGAAGTAGACCTCCTTGAGCTCATCCTCTATGAAGTAGATCTCCTTGAGTTATTCTATGAAAAATAAATCCTCGATCTCGTCTTCAATGATGAAGACCTCCTTGAGCTCTTCTATGAAGAATAACTTCTTGAGCGTTTTATGAAGAAGACCTCCTTGAGCTCTTCTATTTTGAGTTCTTTTATCTGAAGCAGACCTCCGTGAGCTCTTCTATCTGAAGAAGACCTCCTTGACTTCTTCTATGAATAAGGCCTCCTTGAGTTCTTTTATAAAAAAATACCTCTGGAGCTCCCCTTCTTTAAAGAACACCTCCTTCATTTATTCTTCCTTGAACCTTTTTTTGCTTACCTTAAGTTTGCAGGGGAAGACGGCAATTGATTTAAATTCTTCGCGTTTCTTTTGTTTCAGTTCATCGCGATAGGCCATAAACTTATCGAACAGATGATAAATAATATCGGCCTGGAATATTTTCACACCCAACGTATCGGCCATTTCTTGTGCTTCCTTTTCCACCTTGACATCGAATGCTAAAATTGTGGCGTATCTGGAAAAAAAAATGAAGAGGGAAAGTGGGGGTGAATATTCTTTACTGTTGTAATAAATTTATAAAAATATATATTTTTTAAAGATGCGGATGTCAAAAATGTATCTATCAATAATAAGAAATTCGATTTTATTATTTAAATAAAATTGAAATAAATTTCTGTGCAGATGCCAGATTAATGTTACAGTGGCCCAAAGAAGCGATAGGTGTTGTGTAAATTGTTAGGAGATGCCACTCCTATTTAAAAATGTTCTCCGCCTGAGAAAGAGGATTCTATATTTTGGATCCTGGATCCCTGTGCCTTTGAAAATGTAATGAAGATTAATTTTTGAGGTCCTAAGTATGCCTGGGTCCACTGTGTTCATTGTTTCCTTGAGTCCCATATAACCATCATATAATTATCATACCAACAAACTTGTGTTCTGTTCCCATTGCGAAACAGGAAACTGCAGAATTTCGTTGAAGAAGAATGTCCAGAGACGAGAGTGGTAATAATGACGCTCATTATTGTCATCGTCGTAATGATGAGGATGACATTAATGATTATAGTAATAAGACAAGAAGAATTCCGAAAACAACAACAAAATGTTGCATGTGCCGGAATCAGCACTCAATTTCAGCAGAGTTGTGTCGACAAAAACCATCGGCGGCAGCATTAAATTCATTCATACATTTCCTACCGAGAGAATCAGTCCGTCCGAGCATGTGTGACAGACAAAGTCTTGATTCACATAATTAAGTTTCTTGGACTCTTGTAGTAGTGGTGCCCCTTTTCCACCCCAGTTTAAATCAGGGTCCCCCTTGCATACCTAGGGTGATCATGATCGTAATATGCGACCAATCGTCCGTCATTCACGATCATTACTCACATTGTTGGGGTTATTATTGTTGTTGTTGCTGATTCCTTTTTTTGTACTTCTTTCTGTTCATAAGAAATATTCTTTGGCGGATGACGTTAATGGTGGCTATTAATTTATTCAAAAAACAACATCGGATATTCAATATCATTCGAATTATCTCCATTACAGATGGACGTCGGCCAGTCAACCGAACAAGCCTTCCCAAACCGCCGTTCAACAGAGTGCAAGGGTAAAATTGTTGTACAATTTGGTATGGAAGTGCGCGTGTGTGTGTTGGAGGTCGAAAATCAAAGTAAATGAATGTAAAAAAATCATCATACCAAAAGAGAGCAGTTTTCTCCGATTTTAAAGACCGGCATTCCTCTTCTAAGCTAAATTAAATTTTCTTTGTCTGTCACTAGTTAACCATGACAATTGAATTGAATGACAGCTGGGACAAAGATAGCTGGAGTTTTGTGATAATTATCTTCGTGACCCCCAAAAATAATTTTCTTATATCTTTAAAATATTAAATACAATTAAAAACCTGTAAGGGAAGTAGTAATATCGGACTGGGTCGACTATATGATACCCTTCACCACTTGGGTATATTGTACATATGTATCCTTACAATCGTATGTCAATGTTCCGTCGAAGGAACCTTAATTTGATTCGAGTAGATTTAGAGTCGCCTGTGTACCATGGAACAAATTTATGGAAAACGATTTCAATCAGGCACCCGTTCGAAATACCTATGGAAGCTATGGCTGTATCTGCACCAGTTTCAACAAAACCCAATAACGTGATTTAAGTCTCAATTTGATACGTTGTGCAAAATTTTGTGTTAATCGGACAAACATTAGGAGTTTGATGCTCCATTTATGTAAAATCGGAGGGATCTTCACGAAACTTAGAACACATCATTCTAGACTCCATTCAGTACGCTGTGCCAAATTTCGTGCAAATCGAAAGATATTTAGGGACTTTGGTGCACCATTTACATTAAATCGGAAGAAAATATATATGGGAGCTATATCTAAATCTGAACTGATTTTCACGAAACTTAGCACACAACATTCTAGACTCAATTCAGTACGCTGTGTCAAATTTCGTGCAAATCGAAAGATATTTAGGGACTTTGGTGTACCATTTGTCTTAAATCGGACGAAAATATATATGGGAGCTATATCTAAATCTGAACCGATTTTCACGAAACTTAGCACACATCATTCCAGGCTTAATTCAGTACGCTAAGCCAAATTTCGTGCAAATGGAAGAATATATAGGGTCTTTGGTGCACCATTTATATCAAATCGGACGAAAATGTATATGGGAGCTATATCTAAATCTGAACCGATTTTCACGAAACTTAGCACACATCGTTCTAGACCTAATTTATTACTCTACGCAAAATTTCGTGTAGATTGAAAGATATATAGGGACATTGGTGCACCCTTTATCTAAATCGGACGAAAATATATATGGGAGCTATATATAAATCTGAACCGATTTTCTCGAAAATCGGCACACGTCATTCTAGACCTAATTCATTACGCTGTGCCAAATTTCGTGCAAATCGAAAGATATATAGGGGCTTTGGTGGACCATTTACATTAAATCGGAAGAAAATATATATGGGAGCTATATCTAAATCTGAACCGATTTTCACGAAACATAGCACACATCATTCTAGGCTTAATTCAGTACGATGTGCCAAATTTCGTGCAAATCGAAAGATATTTAGGGACTTTGGTGCACCATTTACCTTAAATCGGAAGAAAATATATAAGGGAGCTATATCTAAATTTGAACCAATTTTCACGAAACTTAGCCCACATCATTCTACTCTCAATTCAGTACGCTGTGCCAAATTTCGTGCAAATGGAAGAATATATAGGGTCTTTGCTGCACCATTTACATTAAATCGGACGAAAATATATATGGGAGCTATATATAAATCTGAGCCGATTTTCACGAAACTTAGCACACATCAGTTTAGGCTCAATTCAGTACGCAGTGCCAAATTTCGTGCAAATCGAAAGATATATAGGGACTTTGGTGTACCATTTGTCTTAAATCGGACGAAAATATATATGGGAGCTATATCTAAATCTGAACCGATTTTCACGAAACTTAGTACACGCCATTCTAGACTCAATTCAGTACGCTAAGCCAAATTTCGTGCAAATGGAAGAATATATAGGGTCTTTGGTGCGCCATTTACCTTAAATCGGATGAAAATATATATGGGAGCTATATCTAAATCTGAACCGATTTTTCCCAATTTCAATAGGGTTCGTCCTTGGGCCAAATGAATGAACTGTGCCAAATTTCATCCTATTCGAATAATAAATGCAATTTTGCAATACTTACTGTGGCTCATGTTCCAACATTGTTGAAGCCTTCATTACATCACGTTTTACGACGGGACCAATACGAATGGCGGAATACTAAAAAAAAACAAGCGAAAATACAACAAAATTAGTAGAAATTGGAAAAGAAAAAAATGATTACATCCAAAAAAAAAAACAAGAACAACATGTGATAAACTAAATAATTGACAAAATAATAACAAACATCAGTCAGACACAGTCCACCATTCATCCAACCAGCCAGGCGGATAACCAACAGGCCAGACTGAGAGACAGCCTCTTGATTTTGAACAAATAAATAAAAAACCAACTAACGAATTTCGGTTATGGTGCCGCTGCCACATTCAACAACAAAAACGTGGTCGTATTTGTTGTCATTATTCATTCATGCATTCATTCATTCAGACATTCAGTCAGTCAGCCAGCCACACATTCACTCATGGCAACAGTGGGGGTGACACAAATTAAGTACCAAATCACAAAATGTTTGTGTGTTGGTGGTGCCTCAGATTGTTGCGTATGAGTTGAACCCCACATAGTTTTGTCAACTAGCCCCCACCGGAGTAATAATGTGACACACTAAGCCGCTTTTTGTTTATGGCAGAACTATTGGGGGCCTCGACCAACAGGGTCAATGTGGGAAATATTTATTTTCAAAAACCCATCAAGTTGGGGATTTGTAAAAAAATATTTTTATAGGTTCTCTATTTTTTTTAAATGAAGGTATGAAACGAAGTTGTGGATTTTTTCGAAAATATTTTTCAAAGACGTATAAAGATGGATATTAAAAAAATAGCCATCAAATGAGGATTTTTATTATTTTTTTCTTATCTCATAAAGCCGCTGTTTAAAAAAATAGTGTTTGAAAATGTGCCTCATCGAAATATTGGTTCTAGATCCCATGTTTCTTTAGACCAAATCCGTTTCAGAAAATTTAAATTGCATCCAAACTTTGCCCATCTTATTATTTATTCCAAACAAAATCGAAGATAGGGAATATCGGTCCACTGCTTCTGGAAACTCCACACAGGGTCTAGGTCTAAATGGCGGCTATAGTTCATTTTCGAATCTTACGTTCTAATTTTTTATCTCGCTATCCTCCGAAGGTGAAATGATTACAACAGAGTCTTAGAACCAAACTCAAAACGCGGAACAATTCAGATAACTATTTTAAAATAAACTTACTGGGAAAGTAGTAAAGTCGGACGGGGCCGACTATATAATACCCTTCACCACCTTGGGTATATTGTGAATTTTTAAAGGACCAGTAAAATGTAATTGGATCCATAAACATGTCATTCTGCAGCCGATATAAAATTTTTCATTTGGCCAGATATAGAAGCTATATCTAAATCTAAACCGATTTTCGCGAAACTTAACACACATCATTCTAAACCTAATTCATTACGCTGTGTCAAATTTCGTGCCAATCGAAAGATATTTAGGGACTTTGGTAAACCATTTACCTTAAATCGGACGAAAATAAATTTCGGAGCTATATCTAGATCTGAACCGATTTTTGCGAAACTTAACACACATCATTCTAGACCCAATGCATTGCGCAGTGCCAAATTTCGTGCAAATCGAAAGATATTTAGGGACTTTGGTAAACCATTTACCTTAAATCGGCCTAAAAAATATATGTGAGCTATATCTAAATCTGAACTGGTTTTCAGGAAACTTAACACACGTCATTCTAGACCTAATTCATTACGCTGTGCCAAATTTCGTGCAAATCGAAAGATATATAGGGACTTTGGTGCATTATTTACATTAAATCGGACGAAAATCTGAACCAAATCTGAACCGATTTTCAGGAAACTTAACACACATCATTCTAGACCTAATGCATTGCGCAGTGCCAAATTTTGTGCAAATCGAGAGATATATAGGGAATTTGGTGCACCATTTACATTAAATCGGACGAAAATATATATGGGAGCCAAATCTAAACCGATTTTCACGAAACTTAACACACATCATTCTAGACTTAATTCATTACGCTGTGCCAAATTTCGTGCAAATCGAGAGATATATAGAGACTTTGGTGGACCATTTACATTAAATCGGACGAAAATATATATGGGAGCTATATCTAAATCTGAACCGATTTTCAGGAAACTTAACACACATAATTCTAGACCTAATGCATTGCGCTGTGCCAAATTTCGTGCAAATCGAGAGATATATAGGGAATATGGGAGCTATATCTAAATCTGAACCGATTTTTCCCAATTTCAACAGGGTACGTCCTTGGGCCAAATAAGTGAGCTATGCCAAATTTCATCCAAATCGGATAATAAATGTGACCTGTACTTTGTTCACAAAAATACATGGACGAACAGACGGACGGACAGACGGACATGCGTAAATCGACTCAGAAAATGATTCTATGCATATTCTCAAAAGGAACCATGTGTCTATCTCGTTTCCTTTTGCCTGTTACAAACATATGCACAAAGACATAATATCCTGTACCACAGTATGGTGAAGGGTATAAAAAGGAGGTTATATGGGGACTACCCCACAAAAAGGGGGCGAATATTAATAATTTTTTGTAGGGAGATTTGTTACCATATAGGACTACAACATACCAAATTGCAGCGAATTCGGTGGAAAAACGCGCTCAAGAACCCCGAAATACCGAAAATTGGAGGTACCCTTATCCTAAAAAAAGTGGATCTATATTCATAATTTTTTGTGGAGAGATTTGGGACCTATTAATAACTCAAAATACTAAATTACAGCTAATTCGGCGGAAAATACGATCAAAATCCCCAAAATACTGAAAATTAGGAGGTACCGTTATATGGGGACTACCAGAAAAAGTGGACCTATATTTATAATTTTTTGGGGAGACATTTAGTACCCAATAAGAACCCAATGTAGCAAATTTCAGCGAAATCGGTTGAAAAACGCGCTCAAGAACTCCAAAATACCGAAAATTGGGGGGTACCCATATATGGGAGCTAACCGAAAAAATTGGCCTATATTCATAATTTTTTGTGGAGAGATTTGGGACCTATTAATAACTCAAAATACTAAATTACAACTAATTCAGCGGAAAAGGGTACCGTTATATGGGGGCTACCAGAAAAAGTGGACCTATATTTATAATTTTTTGGGGAGACATTTAGTACCCAATAAGAACCCAATGTAGCAATAAAAATTGTGGGTACCCTTATATGGGAGCTATGCCTAAATGTGGACCGAAAAGCCCATCTTCGAACTTGACCTGCCTGCAGACAAAAGACGACTCTATGCAAAATTTTGGCAATCTATTCTATATCGCCTTTCATCAAGGCGGTTGATTTAAAATAGGTTTTCAAAAATCCTCAATGATTTTCTTTTTCAAAATATTTTTTACAACTCAGTCCTCAAGTTCCGTTTTTGAATATAGTTTCACACTACGTTACGGATTTTTTCCTGGTAAACAATGTCTGGAGGGGGAAAATCATAATCATCTGCTAAATTACCAAGACACAAATTTATGCCAAATAAATATAATTATTGGCAATTCCAAGTGATTACCTATCCCGCCAAAAATTTATTGGGCACCACCATTTATTAGCATTCATAAGTGACGACTTAATTTCCGCATTCACCAGCCGAACGAGGTGTTGTGTTGCTGTGTGTAGCAAAAAAAAACCGACAACCAAAGGTGGCAGCTACTATTGAATGAATTCATGAAGTTGCTGTTACGTTTACTGAAAGTGAGCCTACACTTCGCACCGCCACGCTCTGCTCCGCCCGTTATGGATGGTTGCCTTGCCATAACCACTTTCCAAACCAAGTAGAGAAAATGTTGATCAGCAGCAGAGTCAAATGACTTCCTTATATTTCATAATAGAAAGCAATTTGAAGAAACCCCATTATTGGGGGTGGGTTGCTGTATTCACATTCACATCTAACCCACTCTAATGTACACACATGTCGACATATATACATTTATCTATATAAATAAAAAACCATTCATTCATTCATATTTTCGCCTATATACATATATAGAGAGTACAATAATACAAACAAACATTGGATATATCGCGCCATGTGTACATTTTGATAAAACGAACGAAATGAATGAGTAGAACGAAATAAACGAACGGGCCAGCGAACGAACGTAAGACAACGACGACGTCAACAAACAGGAAAAACTACTTCCGTTGCGCGAATATGGTGGCAGCGACGGTGTTGGTGGGGGTGGGGGTGTTATGTTTAGTGTTATTGCTGATATTGCTGTTCTTGTTATTGTTGTTGTTGCATTTTATATTTGTATAAGCAAATAAATATTTTATTTTTCCGTTGTTCTGTTTGCTCTCCTACCATTCTATTCAATAATATCCCTCCTCCCCCTCGAGTCCACCTATATTTAACATGCAAATCACATAACGTAATTAGTTGAAATATAATTTGATCGCTGCGAGCCACTGTATATGGAAATACCTTCTTTTTATAGTAAATGGTTGTAAATACTTCTTGAAATGCAAATGACCATAATGTCATTAACTCATTACATTGTCTTTAAAAAATATTTTTTTAAAATCCACGCATTACCAGAATGTTTAATAATAGTTCTCAAAAGTCCATGAATTGACGGAGTTTTGGCTTTTTCTGAAATTCACAACTTGACTAATTAAAAGAAACTTTTTGAAATTTTTTTAATCCACACCTTTAAGCCTTTGAAGAAAATATTCTTTAAAAATCCACGCCTATGGCCTATGAAGAAAATATTCTTTAAAAATCCACGCCTATGGCCTATGAAGATTCTTTAAAAATCCACGCCTGTAGTTAGACAAGTCCTATGGCCTATGAAGAAAATATTCTTTAAAAATCCACGCCTATGGCCTATGAAGAAAATATTCTTTAAAAATCCACGCCTATGGCCTATGAAGAAAATATTCTTTAAAAATCCACGCCTATGGCCTATGAAGAAAATATTCTTTAAAAATCCACGCCTATGGCCTATGAAGAAAATATTCTTTAAAAATCCACGCCTATGGCCTATGAAGAAAATATTCTTTAAAAATCCACGCCTATGGCCTTTGAAGAGGTTTGTTGGAAGCTGCTGGTTCAATATG